AGCAGCCTGGTGGTCTCCTCCACACCAGCAGTCACCACGGCAAAGCAGTCCTGCATGTAAAAGGAAAAATCCCTGTCAGCATCTGCCTGGGCCAATCTGTCCCTATCCCCATTACCCTGAGCTGCGTGGATCACAAACACTGGCTGATCATGGAGCAGGCATCACAGCACCCCAGTGCAGGGCTGCCATGATGCTGGCGTGTGCAAAGAGGTGTGATCAGGGGTTGGAATGCCCTGGCCACAGGCAGGGGTAATGACAGGGACAAGGAGAGCTTCTTACACTGTCCAGATAGCACGTCAGCATTTCAGCCACAAGCCTCTCAGTGTTCTTGGATATCTCTGAGGGTTTGATGACCACACAGTTACCTGGGGGGAGACGGACAGAACGTCAGAGCAGCCCAAACTAGGGACAGAGAGCCCATCCAGGTCCCCTCGCCTGCATCCTCCAGGCAGGAGATGTGCCTGGCTTTGTGCAGCCTGGCCTCACCAGCAGCAATAGCACCGATGAGAGGTACAAGGAAGAGGTGGATGGGGTAGTTCCAGGGCGCGATGATGAGCACCACCCCATAGGGGTCCTTGCGGATGAAAGCTGAGTCCAGCTGTGTGACCTGCAAGAAAGGCACCTCAGTGCTGCTCCTGAAGCAGCTCTGCCCCTTTGTTGACCTCCCGCTTCCAGAGCTTCTGCCCTACCAGGTTCTTGTCCACGTGCTCATCCTTCATCCAGTGAGACAAGTTGTTGAGGGTGTCATTGAGCTCATTCTTGCAGAGGAGAATCTCAGTGAAATAGGCCTCAAAGGATGGCTGGGGACAGACATCAGTGTCAGCATCACCCCAACATCAGAACCATCTCCTCCCACCCGCAGATGTCTCCCCTTCTTCTGCCCACAAAGGCAGAGCAGAAGAAGCTATTAAGGAGAAGCTATTTTAAGAAGAAAGAGTTATTAATCTTGCAGCTACTGGGGAGTATCACGGCCACCAAAATTTTGTAACAGTTGGTATTTGGTCAGAGAGAAAAAACAATATTTGATGTCTTTTGGGCATCGCTGTGCACTGATACCATTGCCCTTGAGGCCACAAGTTGCTGCGTTCTGATCACTTGGGAGCTGGAGGCAGAGCCTAGTGCCTTATTCCACTGCCCCCGCACAGCTGCTGGGCTCAAAGCTCTGCATTGTTCCAGCAGGAACGCGATGAAGACCAAACACTTTGTGACTGCCCCACGGAACAGAGCTGAGCTGTACAGCACCAGGCAGGAAAATCCCTGCAGCTGTGGGGCTCCTGTAGCGAGCCGGCACACGGCCGGGCCGGGCAGGTTGGGTGAGACACAGGGAGGAAACAAACCCAGCAGGTTGCTCCCAGATACACCATCTCAACACACGGTGACTAAAATCACAGTGAGCTGGGAGCGGCGCAATTCTGTGGAGGCATTTCCTGCCTATGCAGGTCCTCTCCATTGACAGAAGCACAGCAGAGTCAGTTTGTGATGGAGAAGCATGAGGACATGAGGAGTTAGCTCAGCAGGACTAACTTCCCTCCGTCACCACACAGGGCAAAACTCTCTGGCGCTGAGTTATTTGCAGAGCCTCCGCTGTGATAGCCTCCAGACCACAAAGCATCTCTGGTGGGAGCTTTCCTTCATCACAGCAGGAAAACAGGGGGGAAAGTTGAGTTTGTGACCCCTCTGCTTGGAGGCTCCACCACCAAGCCCAGCCCAGGAGACCTCCCTGGCTCCTCAGCGTATCAGCTGCGTGGTGAAACAACGGGGCTGCTCTCAGCCTGGGCGGCTGGTTGCACCACCCGAGGATGAGGAAACTGCTGGTGAAGATTAATGGTGGCCATTAAGGGTTCTGATGGGACAGAAGTCTGGTGGATGAGACATTAAATCTGAGGTCACTCTTCCATCATCGGGAGAGAAACGGGTGAGGCAGCCACCTCAGATACGTAAGAGCAGATGAATTGTCCATCCAGCTATGAAGACCTGACTGCATAACAAGCACATTAGTGGGCAACCGGTTCTAATTATGTACAATTAGGAGAGACGAACAACGCATGTTGAGTGTCAGTGCTTATCAGCACCTGTCTGAAGCTGAAGTTTCTCACCTCAAACAAACAAGGCAATTAGAAGCATGGGATTTTGAGATGCTTGAGGCCATCTGCGGGCACAGCCACACACAGATGCAGCTCCAACCCCTCAGAAACCTTTTCTAACAATCTCTGACCAAATTGCACAGCACACCAGGAAGGGAAAAAGTGACCATAGACTGAATTTGTCCCCAGTGGGGAGGCACCCTGCCTCCTTGACAGATCACTCAGGGGCTCTTGGGGTGCCACAGTCCCTAAGGTCCCCGCTTGTACCACAACACCAAGCCAGCAAGATCAACCCCTGCATGGCTGGTACATGGGAGGAATGTGCAAGATCAGCTCCTTGAACAACACCAGTAATCCCTGCTGCAACCAGGCATGTGAGGAGCACCCTTGACTACAGCCTCTGCAACCAGGGCACTGCAGAAGTGACATGGAGCTACTCAGGGACTTGGCACTCTGAATGCCCCACAGCAGCATCATATAGGGATGCAGGACCCCAACATGCAGACACTGTGCCCATTCCCGACTCCTCTCACCTTGCCCATGTCCAACGCAGTGGCTTCCAGGATGTCCTGCTTCTTCTCCTCCAGGAAGCGGCCCAGGGCCTCCAGCTGTGCCACACGGTATTCCAAGGGCCGTGTCTTCCCCGAGAGCCAGGCTGCCCGCAGGTGGCTCACCAGCCCCGCATAGGGGTTCCCGCTGTGGGAGTGGGGACGTCAGGGGTACCCCAGCCCTCTCCCAGTCCTCCGTGCTGCAGGTGCCAAGGAGAGGAGCTCCGCGTCCCAGCCTCATCCCACACCATCTGTGCCCTCCCTCAGAGCTGGAGCTCCCTGTGCTCACCTTGTCTCCAAACTCGGCTCCCCAGGATCCCACTGTGACCTGGTGCCCGATGGCTCCTCATGTTTGTCCCTTGCATCCCAGCACCTTGCAGCACCCACACCCACACCCCTCCATGCCACTGCCCCATCCCCTGCTGTCCCCAACCCCTCGCTCTCACCTCACAGTGCTGCAGACCACTGGCCCTTTCGGGATGGCACCAGCTGCGCCGGCACTGCTGCTCAGCAGGCTGCTCTTACCACAGCCTGGGGGCTGCTGCACGGGAAGCTGGAGGGGCTGCTGCATGGTCTACACGGGCCCTGGGGAGAGGTATGGGGATGGTAAACTTATGCAAGTGCTCTTCCCTCCCCCAGTGGTGTGGGGTCTGCAGTCACTGCAAGGAAGCCTTGGAGATGCAGAGCAGCCACCCCGCAGCACAGCACCATGTCCACAGTGGCCCTTTGAAGGCAGTTGGGTCCTTGAGGACATCCAGACTGAAGCGTGAGTCACTCCAGTGTGGCTGCCTGAGGCCCTGAAGCATCCAGCTGGAGATGCCTGGAATTCCCATACCCTTCCCCCCTCCCCGGATGGCCTCCAGCCACGGGATTGCCCCACAGATGTGGGGTCGGTCTTGAGGATCCCAATGCAGGGAGGAATCCCAGGATGGCCTGTTGGGTTCCCCACACACCCCACTACAGGGCAGCACTGGTACTGCCCCAACGCACCAGTGGGCATAGTATCGCTCCCCCTTTCAATGAAGACTTGCCCAGACATGGCTAGGGGGCTGGGGGCAGGGGATACCCACAGCCACACATCCGTTTCTCTGTCCCTCTCCATACCCAACGCATCCACCCTCCCTCAAGGGAACCCACCAAAGGCAAAGTCCAACCAAGGGGCAGCCAAGTGCCACATGGGGGCCCATAGGTACCTACCTGTGGGACTGAGCGGTGGCTGGAGGAGCACGAAGCCGGGTTGGCACTGCTGAAGCTCAGGGTGGCCCTCATAAATGCTGTGGGGCAGGTGGCCTGGCCACATGTCCAGGGGTGGGCAGGATAATGCCCCGCCTCCATGGGGTTGGCAGTAAGGAGAGAGCAGCCCGCCTCCATGTAGCTGATGTTGGGATGGGGTGGGACCGGGACCTCCCAGTGGGATAGTGGAGCTGGGGAACAACCAAACCATCACTGTGAGCCCTGACCCACAGATACCCCACAGAAACCACTCACTCTGCTCCCCGGAGCCACCCCTGATCCAGGGGACTCAGCAGACCCCATGGGGACATGATGCCATTCCTATGCCCACGTCCACCCCATCATTACTGGAACAAGCCCCAAGCTCACCCCACACCCACCTCCCCTCCACTCACTCTGGCTCCCTGCACGCCCTAATTAATAACGCTGCTATGTAAACAGGAAGGCAGCAGCCCTGCCCCATGCACTGTGCCAGAACAGCAGGGTGGTGCTGCCCCCAAATCCCAAGGAGTACCCCCAAGTATAGGGATTTACCCCAAAGTGCTTCTGCACTTGGGGGAATGGAGCCCAGCCCTGAGTAGCCCCTGCCTCAGTGCAGGAACATCCTGACCCATATCCACCATCTGCAGGGAGATTCGGGGTTGATTTGGGGTTTTGGCTGCAGTGCTGTCCTTTAGATGCTGCATGCACAGGGTCCCTCACTGTGGTGTGGGACATGCACATGGCCAAGATGCTCCACATGACCCGTGGCAAAGGGGAAAGTAGAGATTGGCACTCCTGGACCCCAAATAAGTATTTGGGGGCACAATGTGGGGCTCCGCTCACCTCTCAGCCTGGGTTTAGGGTCACAGAGGGCACGGGAGGCATCCCGCACCCCTCCTGGGGTTGTCCCTGTCCCCATCCAGCTGTGTGACATTCCTTTAGTACCGGCTCAGCCAGATTTGTCCATTGGCTGCGGGTGACCGATGACAGGGAGGGAGCAAAGCTGCCGGACTCCCTCCTGGCTCCCGTTTATGGGGTGCCGGAGGGGATACGGGCACACAGGCGGGAGGGGGGGAAGAACAGGGGACACGTGGGTGACAAGGGGACACAAGCAGACAGGTGACAACAGGGGAGAGAGGTCAAGAAGGGCCACGTGCCTGTTCCATGTGGCGATGGGATAGGAGCAGCATAAACTGGGTGCTGGTGGGAATATGGGGTCCCGGGAGTTCCAGGAGCGGCTCCTTTAAGCCCCCGTCCCGCCCGCCCCGTTCGAAAGAGGAAGCTGCGGCGGCTCCGCCCCGAGCCGGGCACAGCGGGGCGGCAGCCAGGCCGGGGTGCTGAGCTCGGGGCTGTGGGGTAGGAGTTGCCGGACTCGGGGGTGCGAGGGTGCCGGGTGCCAGGTTTGGGACCGAACGGTGCGAGGATGGAGGAGTGACAGGCAGCGGGTGTAGGGGAGCAGAGCTCATGGGTGCAGTGTCTAAGGGGTGCAGGGCAAAAGGTTTCGGGGTGCAGAGCACATGGGTGCAAGGTTTGGGGGTGCCGGGCTCATAGATGAAGGGTTTGGGGGTGAATGAATGATAGGTGCAGAGCATGTGTTGTGAGGGCTCATGAGCGCAGGGTTTAGGGATGCAGAACCTACAGGTGCCAAGGTTTAGGGGTGCCAGGCACGCAGTTGCAGAGTGTGGGGGTGCGGCGTCTCAAGGGTGTTGGGTGCAAGGTTTGGGGGGTGTGCAGTGTAAGGGGGGAGGAATAATGGCTGCCCAATGAGGGGGTGTGGGCAGCAGGGGGTGCTGGACAGGAGTGCAAAGTTTGAGGGTGCAGAGCCCAAGGGTGCAGGGTTCGGGGCCACAGGAACATGTTCTGCCCCCCCAACATCTCCAGAGTGCCCCGCAGACACAGCAGCGATGGAGAAGGACCCCGGCTGCTGCCAGGATGTGGCCAAAACAGCAGCGGGTGAGATGCTGGGCCCTGAGGCACAGGTGAGGCAGGGAGGTGACACGGGGTTGTGACGCAGGGTGGTGGCACCCCGTGGCTGAGCAGGGGGCTCCTACAGCTAGACGACATGGTGGGAGCGCACACGGACTACAATGAGGAGGAGGAGGAACAGAAATATTTCCGCCGCAAGCGCCTTGGCGTGGTGAAGAACGTGCTGGCTGCCAGCTTGGCCGCCATGCTCACCTACAGCGTCTACCTGGGTACGGCCCTGGCCCCAGAACGGGGAACCCTCTGATGTCAGTGGGGCAGTGACGTGATGGCATTTGGGACTCCCCAGGCCTGCTGCAGATGCAGCTCATCCTGCACTATGACGAGACCTACCGGGAGGTGAAGTACAGCAACATGGAGCTGGAGGACATCGACCGCAAGGTGCTGATGGGCATCAATGTCACCCCCGTGGTGGCGCTGCTCTACACGCCTGTCCTCATCCGGTTCTTCGGCACCAAGTGGACCATGTTCCTGGCCGTGGGCATCTATGCCCTCTTTGTCTCCAGCAACTACTGGGAGCGCTACTTCACACTGGTGCCCTCTGCTGTGGCCATCGGGGTGGCCATCGTGCCGCTCTGGGCTTCCTTGGGCAACTACATTACGCGGTAGGTGGCAGGGGGAGAAGGGAACAGTGGGACAGGGCAGAGGCTGACCCACACTCTGCTACAGGATGGCACAGAAGTACTACGAGTATGCCAACTACAAGGAGGAGCACGTGCAGGAGCAGCGGCAAGCACCACGTGGAGCCTGCAGTGCCTACATTGTCGTCTTCCAGACCATCTTCTACATCTGCTTCCACGTGAGGGCCAGCGGGGACAGGGAGGGAACAAATGGAACAGCCCAGTGCTGAATGTCCACCACTCTGCATCCTGCAGCTGAGCTTCGTCTGCGCGCAGATGCCCACGCTCTTCTTCCTCAACAACTACATCTACCAGCTCAACCACACACTCTACGGGGTGAAGCACTGTGGTGAGCACATGGGGCGGCACCATGGGGTGTTGGCACAGTCCTGGCCAGTGCTGAGCCCACCGTGCACGCCCCTGCAGGTACCCTGAGCCACGGCACGCTGACTGGCTTCAATAAGACGGTGCTGCACAGTCTGCCTCGCAGCGTCAACCTCATCGTGGTGGAGAGCGTCCTGATGGCAGCTGCCTTCCTTGCCATGCTGGTGGTGAGCACGGGATTGTAGAATCAGAGAATGGTTTGGGTTGGAAGGGACCTTAAAGATTTTCCATTTCCAACCTCCTGCTGTGGGCTGGTTGTAAGATGGGACAGGATGGGGCAGGTGGCCATCAGCATGTCACCTGCTACCACAACACAGGTCCTGTTGCTCTGCGGCTCGGCGTATCGGACCACTGAGGAGATTGATCTGCGCAGCATAGGCTGGGGGAACATATTCCAGCTGCCCTTCAAGCACATGCGGGACTATCGCCTCCGCCACCTCCTTCCTTTCTTCATCTACAGTGGCTTTGAGGTGCTCTTCATCTGCAATGATTTCTCCCTGGTACAGCACAGAGTTGGGATGGGGTGGTGGCATGGGGACAGCACAGCTGCATGATGCTAAGCCTGTCCTCGATGCAGAACTATGGCGTGTGCACCCTGGGGCTGGAGAAGCTGGCATACCTCCTCATCGCCTACGGCTTCTCCGCCTCCACCTGCTCTAGCCTTGCTCTCTTCATGCTGCGCCTACGACGTCAGTACCCACTGCTGGCTGGAGCCTTGCTCCATGCTTCTATCCTGGTGACGCTCTTCTGCTGGGCACCTACGCCCCGACAAGTGGAGCAGGCACCTCTGCTTTACACCATAGCTGCACTCTGGGGAATGGGCAGTGCCCTCAACAAGACTGGCATTAGCAGTGAGTAGTGGGAACGTCCCAGTACAGTCTCTGGCGTCCCCAGGAGTGAGCAAGTTGTTTCCAGACCATCTTGGCCAGTGGTCCCCAGTTCCATGGGTGGAGTAGGTTGTACCCAGCTCATCCTGTTCTTGTGTCCTCTGGTAGTCCTAGTTCTGTGGGTAGGGCAGGTTGTCCCCAACTAATTCTGTACTCATGTCCCCCGATGGTACCCACCTCCATGAATAGAGTGGGTTGTCCCCACTTCACTCTGTCCTTGTGTCCCCCAGTGCCTCCAGCCCTTTGAGTAGGGCAGGTTGTTCCTGACTCATCCTGTCCTCATGCCCCTCAGTGTTCCCTAGCTCTGTGGGTAGGGCTTGCTGTCCCCAGCTTGTCCTGTCCTTGTGTGCCCCAGCGGTCCCCAGCTCTGTAGGCTCACTAGTAATTATCAGAAGACAATGACATAGGCTGGGGATGCTGACAGCGTGTGCCTGCCTCCCTCCACCTAGTCCTCCTGGGCATGCTGTATGAAGACAAAGAGCGCCAAGACTTCGTCTTCACCATCTACCACTGGTGGCAGGCACTGGCCATCTTCGTTGTGTACCTGTGGTCAGGGCTGCCTATGAAGGTGAGCAGGGCTGGGATAGGGCGAAGGCAGGGCGCAGTGAGGCTGTCCCACATGCTGATCCCTTCCATCCCCTAGGCCAAGCTGTCTCTCATGCTGTTGGCGCTGGGGCTGGCAGCAGGTTCTTATGGCTGGATGGAGCGCCGGCTGGCACAGCGCGTGGCCTTCCGCCTGCCCCGCATGCCGCGTCCGCGCCACAGGGCCAGCGGGTACCGCTACCTGGAGGAGGATGACTCTGACGAAACCAACTCAGAGGGTGAGGGGGAGAGCCGTGACAACAGCCATCCGCCAGCGGAGGAGGACGAGACGGCAAGAGATGACGGGGAGCAGAGAAATTAGGCAGCAGGCCCACAGGCCTCTGGCAGCCTCACAGGCCTCCCCACACAGCTGCACCCTCTGGGGCTTGAGCCCCGCCGGAGCCGACCCCGAGGCACTGCGCGCTCCCCGCTGATCTCCGACTCAATAAAAGGTTCATCCGATTGCCATCTCCGCCTTCAGTGCCGCCGTTCCGTCCCGCTGCTTTCGACGCCCCTCCGTGAGCGAGAAGGCAGCGGCACTTCCGACCGCCGGCGGGACTTCCGGCTGCCTGACCGCTAGGGGACTACAGCTCCCGGCATGCAGTGCGCGGGGGCGCGGTGTACGCCGGGAGCTATAGTCCCCTGCTTGCCCCCGTCTGCGCAGTCTCGCCAGCCGTGGACTCGCCGCCCCACAATGCCCCGCGCTCAGGCGAGCGGCCGGGCAGGGCGGGCGCACGCGCGCTGC